ATTCTACTGAAGCAACAGTTGAAGCTTAAACTCTGAAGCGGTTCTGGGACATGAACTCGAAGAGAGAACCAAGTTTACTAGTTTAGTTCACTTGTTTCAAAGCCATTATATGCTCCCTGAGAAGGGTTCTGCCCCGGAGCTTAGGCCGCCCTTTCAGGGAGAGTGTGTTTCCGTGAAAATTACGATGACTTTGGTGAGAAGTTGAGCTTAAGTTGAGCCAAGCTGAGCTCTCTTTAAAGAATGGATTTTCTAGGAAACTCAAGTCAAGCCAGTGAGAATATTAATCGAATTGAACTCCCTTTCATTCTCAACCCCATATGTAGCTTTTTCAATCTAAGTTAATGATCTGAATATGACTATGGATTCAGCTGTTTTTTGGGTTTTCAACTCCAAATTGTTTTATTGGCCAAAAAAAAACATCAAATTGTTTTCACACACTCTTCAGCTTCAATTTATCATAAAAAATAAAAAACAAGATGACCAAGCAACCTTCAGTATTATACTTAAATGTAATCTTTGGTTGAATAGTTTTTTGTTACCTATACACAAGGCTGGACCAACTACCAACACAATATGTTAATTTATATTTAAATTAATCCATGAGATTCTCTGAGAAATCCTCTGTGACCCCTTTCGAGGAAATATATTAATTCTGATATACTTGAGCCAAAAACTACTCTTTCTGTTCCTTTCCTCGTCCCCTGTCACACATGAAATGTCACCTGCCATTTATGCCATAGTATCCCACCGGTCCCTCTGAAAACACATCATTCTAAATATTTGGCCTTGGACTATGGACAGAACATCCCTAAACACCTCATTTTCTGGGAGTAAATTCTTTCCTTTTTTATTTTTTGTTTCTTTTTTTAAGAATATGAGATTTTAGTTCAGTGATTTACCAATTATCTTTAAGATGGTGACATTCAACAAATCGTTTAATTCCAATACTTATAATCTCTTTTCCGAAGTTGCAATCCTTTCTAATGTACAAAAATTCCAAATATTTTGAATAAAAAGATACATACATACATAAATATTCTGTCAATGAAGTTTAAATACTTAGAATCATTAAGAATTTATTTATTAACCCATAGAAGGGATTTACCGTATGCTTCTTGGGATTAATTCTTTATACAAATTGGAATAGTCTGAAGTTAAATTATAGCCAAATTTTCCCTGATAGAGATATAGCTATATTGGGTTTTTTTTTATCTAGTTTTTTTTTAAAATAAAATCTAGAAAGTAGTTAAGATTATGATTATGGAAACATTAGGCAACCAGCTCAGCTATGATATTAAAACCAGACAGTTCACTGAACTGTAAGAGATTAGCAGTTCAACTACTTGAATTACTGGTAAGACGAATGATGTAAGTTGAGGTCATTATTCATGCATGATATTTATGCTCAAAGAATGAAAGGGAAAATATGAAAACTTTTACTCAACTTTAATAGAAAAAAAAACAATTTTCTATATCAATTTCAATCGATTTTGCTTAATTTTAACCAATAATTAAATACAAAATTCTTAAAATTTGCATCTAAAAATTATAGGCCTTTGATAATATTATTAAATGATGGTAAAGAAGCCAGCCACCTTGAATCAGGCCATTAAAAAAAGAAGTGACATGAGTTAATCTCCTTGATTTTGGGAACTTTGGAACATGTAATTTCGCAAATTCACACCCTTTTTGGTAATACAATATCCTGGTTTCAAACGTCAAGCAATCATCTCCTACCAATTTGTCTTTTTTTTTTTTAATTAATCACTGAAAAAAAAATCATTTGAATATATATAAATATATATATATATTTAATGGTAGAGTTTTTAAGCTCTGTTCAATAGGTCTTTTTTAATCGGTGCAAACAGACTTATTTATATTAGATTTATTGAATTCATAAAAAATTATTTTTTTATAAACTCTCAAATGATTCGAATGTGAATAATCAAAAGAGAAATTAGCTCAAACACGAGAACAATGCTATTTTATCGAACAATACCTCTAATAAATGACATTGATATGATTCATTAAAACTTTAGGATTGTTTTTTATTATGTTTAATCGGCTTTAAAAAACTACTAATTTTTTCTAAAAAAAAAACTGATAATTTTAACATTTTTGGGTTGTAGCTCCAAGCATTTGTACATTCAATTATGATTGTGTTTACTTGATCAAAGTCATAAGAAAAATGTATACAGCCAAGGCTCTGGCAACTGACGGCTTCAGTTTTGGGCTCTCCGAGTGGTAGAGTCCTGACAATACTATCTGGTACTATTTCAACAGCGTGTAGATCGGTCAACTTGTCAAGATAATACCAACCATAAGCATTTCATAGATCAGACATATGACCAAGGTATTCTAGCCGGTGTTCAAGACCTCGGCGCCTTCTTGGCTTAAAGTCAAACTGGGGGCCTGACTTTTATGGAGATATGTCTTTCACTATAGTAACTTACTATTAGTATGATCTTGGGTTAGTATAACTTTTCTTTGGCTGAGGGAAAGGATTAATGATCTGTTTAACAGTTTAAAAAGAATTTCTGATGTAGAGGATCCATAATATTATGACAACTGCAGAGCATACTCAACTTGTATCACTGCAAACTATGGAATAGCTTGAAGAAAAAACATTAAGCTAAAAGCTTTAATTATGGAAGAAGGAAGATGGAATTACCAAAAGAGAAGAAAGGTTTTTAGCCAAACATATTTTATAAAGAAAGGTTTGTTACAAGGGAGAAGTCTTGTTGTTGGTTGATGATTCCTTCTTAAAGAAGTGGCATCCTATTTATACAAGGGAAAAGTAAAGAAATAGTAACATAATAGGACAAAGCTAGGACAAAGCAAATTACAACTTTACAAGTGGCTTGATATAAAGCTAAAGTACGGTGACTCATCACTATGACTCATCACTTATTTGATATAAAGTAAAGGTGACTCATAAAGTAAACATGACTTGACTTAGACATAAAGTTGATGAAGACTTGACATAAAGTTGTCTTGATATAGAGGCATCATAATCAACTCTTCGGAGTCTTCTGGAGAAACTGAAATTATCACACATAATTATATATTATTGGACTGAAATAGGGAATCTTCTATCTTGGAGCACCATAAGTGTCTTTCTTTTGTGAGCATCATTTGAGAGAATGATAAGTGTGTTCTGGAGAGAGGTTGAGGTGTGAGTTGTCTGCGCCTGGTGTGAAATCATAGCCTATGGTTTCTAACCATTGATCTGGATCAAAATCTTCAAGAAGGTCTTGGGATTCTTGCCATTCCATTTGTGGTAGAACTTCAGGAGGTTTCTAGTAAGGATTCCATTCTATTGGTCCTACATGGTCAAGTTCAAATCTGGTAGTATCAGAAAGAGGTTCTATCCAAGCACCATCAAGTCTAGTTTCATAAATCTTTTTATCAATTTTAAGCTGGTAATTGTATTCTGAAGGATAATTTCCCCATGGAACTTCATCTTAGAGCTCTGGCCAATTTTGCTTGGGAATTTTGTGATTTATTTCACAAATTTATCTCTGAAATTTAGTGTATTCAGTGAGGTGATCAAACTGTGAATCAAACAGTGAATATCTTTGAGAGCTATAAATTGCTGCATATGAGAAATACTGGGGGTCTTTTGTCAAACAGCTGCAAGATCTATGAAAGATTAAAACAATATGAGGGTTAGAAAAAACTTTTGTATATCTCTCATAAGTTTCAATCCATTGAATCCAAATGGAATGGGTCTGAACCAAGTGAAGAAAAACTTGAGATGTTGTTGACTGGGGTCCAATTGGTGTTTGGTAGGATTGATGGTTGACTGTTAAAAAAGGTGAAGAAAGGTTTTGAGCTTTGGGAGTGGGAATTCTATAGCAATATAGTGAAGGTGACAAAGGTACCACATAAAACAAACTGTTTCTTTTAGGAAACAAAGTGGTTCAGGGAATTTAAAATGATGGATGAAGGGATAGTTAGGGTGTATACCAAGAGATTGAATGGAGGTATCTCCAAACTTTCTGAGTATTTTAGACTGGTATTTTGAGCAAGAGGTGGGAGGCTTTTTGGTCAAAGATTTGAGTGGCAAGAAGTCTTGGTAACTCTGGAGGAAGATTTTCCACTGGAAGGTTAAAAAATTCATCAGGTAAATCAAATTCATCATCAAGATGAGGTTTTTGAGAAGAAGGGAAAAGAGGATTTTTTTAGAATGAGGCTTGTGAAGAAGAAGGTGTTGGGTTCATCATGGAAATGACTGGAATGATCTGCAAGGTGTTTGAAAGAAGTTTTGAATGAGGTTTTGTGAGCATGTCTGGAATGAGGTTATCTTTATCTTTTATATGTGTTATGGTGAAGGAGTACTGTGAGAACCACTGTGATAGCCTAAGTAACTGTGCATTTGGTATTTTCTTTTTTTTGAAATTGAGCATCTGATCAAAGGCTGACATATCTAATTCCACAAGAAAATGATATCCAATGAGGTGAAATTCAAATCTTTGGATTCCATACTTTATAGCTAAAATCTTTTTTAGTGTAGAGTGATAATGGAGTTTCGAATCTTTGAATTTTCCATTCTTGTAACCACAGATTTGTCTATTTTCATCTTTTTCTTCTAAAAAAATTACTGACCAAAACTGTTCACTTGCATCTGTTTGTAATATTCTTTTTTCATCAGAGGGAATCTTTAAAGTGAGAAGTGACTTTACTTTTATCTTCAAAGTTTGTACTTCATTTGATTGGATCTAAGACCACGTGGGTGGTCTTTTCTTGAGCATTTGTCTGAAATGATGAGTTAATTGTGCAAGATCTGAGAGAAATTCACTCATGTAATTGACTATACTGAGAAATTACTGGATTTGCTTCTTTGAAAAATTTTTATCAGAAAAATCTGCAAGTGTCTGAGCAATGTGAGGTTGAGCTATGTACTGACCATCTTTTAGATGCATGCCTAAGAAATCAATTTCTAAAGCACCAATGATCATCTTTTTCTCTGAGAGCATTATCCCATATTGTTGAACAATTTACTGAAACTTATCCAATAACTGTGTATGAGATGTGACATATGGAGAGAACAGTAAGATTTCAATGTAAATCAAGGCATTATCAAGAATTGGAGTAAATATCTTTGTCATTGCTTTCTGAAACAGTGAATGAGCAACTTTTAATCCAAAAGGTATTACTGTCCACTGAAAATGGTGTTGAAGAATGCAAAATGCCATTTTGTATTTGTCCTGTGGATGTATACCTAGTTGTCAAAATCCTGCTTTGAGGTCACACTTTGAGAAAACTTTCGCATTTGCCAAATTTGCAAACAAAGTTTTTCTGTTTGGAAGAGAAAACTTATCATCTGCAAGGAAAATGTTTAGAGACTTGTAATTAATTATCAATCTTAATTTTTCACGAACTTGTTCTGAACGTTTGTTGACATAAAACGCTTCACATGCCCATGGAGAGGAGGTTGGTTCAATTAATCCTTGAGCTTGGAGAAGTGAGCATTCTTGGATTGCTTGTTTGAAATGATCTGAATTCATGCCTGAATGACTAGCTTTTGTGGGATTGGCATTTTCATCTCTTTTGAAGGGAAGGAAAATAAAAAATTCAAAGTTTTTCCAAAGTGGGTGGTCATATTTCTGGAGGAAGTCTGAATGATTTTCTACATAAGAAAAGTGAATGAACTTTTGTCTAAATTCTTGGAAAACATCTGGTTAAATGGTTAGGGTGAAGAGATTGGGAAGGTTTTTCTAAGGTCTAAAATAACTTTCAAACTTGATACCTTTTTCACTAAGCTTTAAACCTAGTATACTGGTAATAATATCAAAACCAATAACAAGGTCTTTCTAGAAAAGTGGAGATCCTAAAATCTTTTGAGTTATTTGACAACCTGAAAAGATTTGAAGGGTAACAGGGTTGCTGATAAAGTCTGTAGAAAATACATTCTCATCAACAATTTTGAAAAAAGTTTTCTATTTTGTCCAAAGGTTTTTGGGTAAGACAAATGGGTTTGCTATGGTTTAGGCTACACCAGTGTCAAAAAAGCTGTGATTGTTATAGGAGAGGAATGTTTGTAAGGAAAAATCTGAACTAGAGCTAAGGGCAATTTTGAAAGTTAGAGAGTTTAGATTTTTTAGAGTTCTTAGACTGACATATACTCATAACATTGATCATCTGTGAAGTCATCTAAGTATTCTGAGTAGTTTGAATCCGTAAACTTAGCATCATCGAACTACTTGGTCATAAATAGGGATCTTTCATTCTGCTCATCATCAAGGGAGAAAATTGATTCAAGATCATTACCTGAAAGATTGATACTAGAGATATTAGCAATGTCTTGGATCATCTTGACTGATTTTTTATCTGATTTTGGATAATTCTTTGAAAAATGTCTTGGTTTTCCATAAAAAAAATATTTTGAACTTTTGATCTTTGGATCTTTCTTCTTTCTTGCAAATTTGAATCTTTGAAATCTTCTGGGGCTTATCAGCATATTTGAAGAGCTTCTTATGTCTGGGTCTGGAGAAAATTAAAGGTCTGAAAGATCTGAATCTTCTGAAATACTTCTTTTTCTTATTGCTGTAAAAACATATGGGATCTTTGGAAGAACATGTGATTTGAAGGCTTGAGGAGGAGTAAGAGCATGGCTTTTCTAACTTTTTAGAGTTGTGCACCAAGGTTTTAATGTATTTGTGTTCTTTACAAATCTTATCAAGTGCTTTCAACATCATCTTATAGATATCTCCAAGGGTCATAGATCTAACATCAAGAGATCTGAGGTTCAACTGGGTCTTTATTTGCTGTACAAGTTTTTCTGGAACAGAATTGAGAAAGGCTTACTTTAAATTGACATCATCGAATCCACCAAGTATGTAAAAATACTGAAAGAATTGTTGATAGTGTCTGTCAAGGTCTTTTGGATGGAGAGAATATCATTTTAGTTTGAAGAATTGTTCTCTGATCTTTTCCAATCTATGAGTTTCTTGTCCATAAAAGATTGCTGTAAATTGAGAGACAACTTCTGTGATTGTTGGGCATTGAAGAAACTGGAGTTGTCTGTATTCACCAATGTTGTCTCAAAAGTTTTTCAGAGTTTCAACTAGTCTGAAAATAAATCTGATCAATACTGTGTTCATTGTAACATTGGGATGAGAGTTTAATTCAACGAGTCCCCATGTTAAGAACTCTTGGAACCTTGAGGGCCATTTTGAAAAAGGAATATCATCAATGGTAAAAACTGAGAACTTTGATGTCGAATGAGGAACATGTGATTGTTGTGAAAGAGGGTGTTGTTCAGCATCCATTATATCAGGGTTATGAATTTCTAGAGTATCATCTGGAACTTCAACTATTGGTTTTGTCATGAAGATCTGAGGGAGCATTATCTCATCTGAGTCATCAGTATCATCTATTTTAACTGAATGATCTAAATTGACAGCATCCATGTGAGATTTAGTCTCAAAGGTAGAAAAAAAAATATCTTTAAGGGAGAATTGAGGGAGATTGTCTTGTGCCATTTGGTGAAGTATTTCTGGAAGGGTTTGTGTAGGAGAAATCATAAGTTGTACAAGTTTTTAGTCTGGTTGTGGTATAAGGTTTTGAGATGTGGAACTTGAGCTTGGTTTTGGTTTTGAAGGTTGAGAAAGTGGTTGTTCTGTAACTCTTTTGGGTTTTGGATCAACTGGTTATTTTTCTCGAAATCTGTGAATCCATTTTTCAGTTGTACCAAAAAAGGATTGTTCTGGTTGGTCTGAGATAGGAGTAAAGTATTGTGTTGGTTGTGAGGATGTTGGGATGGATGTTAGGGGAGGTTTGTACTGAACAGGTATGAAAAAAGGTTTTGGATGTGAGGTTGGAGGATTGTATGGTTGAAATGGAGGAGGAGTATAGGCTTGGTAAGGAGTATCATGCATACCAATGTGAAATGGTGTGAAAATGTTGTAACTAGAGGCTACTTGTTGTTGTTGTTGTTTCTGACAAAACTAGTTTTGAAGGTCTGTAAGTTGAATCTTTACGCTCTTCATTTCTTTCTCTCGTTCAGTGAAAGCATAAGTGAATCCAGTGTTGGTTTCAACCATATATCTGAGTTCTTGATTAAGTTTTATTATCCTTGACTGAATTTTAAGAATAATATTTTGAAGATTGACAAAGCTCTGATCAAAATGATGATTGACTTGGTCCAACTTGTGTTCAATTCTGTATAGGTATGAATTATGCTGGAGAGAATTTTTAGTTTGCCAATTTAAAACTGCTTTAGCATGAGAAACACTTTTTTGGTTCTCATATTCATCTCTATCAGTGGGAGTGGGGATTTTTGGAATGTGTTTGTACTGGTCTTTGTGAAATTCTTGAAAAAGAGGAAAATCTGAGCTTGGGTAGGTTGGTTGCATCATGGAAATTTGTGGTAAAGGTTAGGTGGAATCTTGGGTGAAATCTGGTTTTTGTGTGGTTTGATTTGAGTAGGTTTGAGAGAATGGTTTTTCTTTCTTAGGATAGATGACATAGTAGTCAAACTTTTCTAAGGGTTCACTAAGGAGATCAACTTTAGGGTCTCCATTCTTATATTTTTCTTTGAGCTTTTGTTGGGAAGACTTTTTCTTCTTTTGCTTTTTTGGAACATCATCATCATCATCATCCAGGAAGCTTCTATATGCGTCTATCTGGCATTCTTTGCATTGACAATTTATGTCCCAATAACAATGTCTTTGTGGAGATCTATATGTATACACGGGATTTCCATTGGACTGAAAATGTGTGACTGAAACATCAAGGAGATCAGCTTGACATATTTGCATCATAAATTATGTTGGAAAGATTGTTGGAGGAGGAACTTCCTTTCCTTTGCTGTGATTAAACTCAATTGTGACAGTACCATCCTGATTTGTCTTGTAGGTTGGATCAAAGTGTTCAATTGGTTCATCTTGCTTCCAAATCTTTTGATAACTTGTCATTCATGTCTTTGGGAGAATTGTGGCAAGCTCTTCATTTGAGATTTGCTTTGGAATACGAACATGTCTAAAAGTTCTGTTTGCTGCTTCCATTTTGACAAAAATAGCATCACTTGAATGTGAAAGAGGCAAGTTAATGGCATGATCTTGAACTCTATATGCCATCTGGTAGTGAAGGGTTACCTGGAGTCCTTTCATTTCTATGCCTACGATCTGGAGTTGAACTTTTAAAGCATCTAATAGGGTTAGATCATGAAGAGACATATTATAATTTGGTAAGACTATGAAGAAGATAGTTCCTACATTGAGTGTTGTCTCAACTATGCCAAGGACTGCATGCTTGTATTTTTTAAATCTTGTGTCCAACAAGGCCATTCTGGTACATACAGGAATTTCATTTCTAACATGGGAGGTTAAGGCTATTCTGATAACACCAAAGTGAATATGAGTGTATCTTTGTTTTGGCCACTGTTGAGGAAATTCTTCTGGGATCTAAAGAGTAACAAAGTGCTCTTGAGGTCTTGCTGGAAGAATACATTGATCAAAGTTTGTGGCTTGAATATACTTTTTTGAAACTTGGTATTTGAGTTTTAAAAGAGTTTTTAAAGATCTAGTAAGAGAAGGGGAGGAGTTTGAGAAAGCTGTATAAGGATTTACAAGGGGAAGAACTGTTTGTTGGGTTTTCTTTTCTTCTGGGATATAATCTACTTCATATAAGAACTTAAACTTAGAAGAGGAAGACTTTTTAAGTACAGGAGAAAGAGGAGAAGACAAACTAAAAGAAGATCTAAAAGAAGAAAGTTGAGAACTAGAGTTGCTAAGAGTTGATGGATCCATGAAAATAAAACTCTCTTTTGGCTTTTCCTTTTCCAACTTCAATAATCAAGGCTTAGAAACATATTTTTCTTCTCACTATCTTGGCAAGCTTCAAGCTCTGATACCATTTTTATACACAGCGGCAGGTACTATAAAGTAACTGTCTTCCTATTTAAGCTTTATATATATATATATATTGAAGCTTGAAGATAAAAGAAGAATTACAAGTATTGAATTTAAATTTTAAATTTTTGATGCTATATTTTAAAAATAATTATATAAATTAATTGAGCTAAATTTTAATATCTCATGCTTAAATTTGCTAACCAATATTGGCTGCTAGAGAGATAGACTGATACAACTTTAAATAAATAGGTGAAGATCCTTTGGTCAAATGGCCAAATAGGAAGTCCAAATTAGTTAAATCCCCCCAAAATTGGCCTCGTTAAGAAGCCTTCCTGTCTGTCCTTAACCTTGATTTGCCAACCATTGCCTGCGTAAGGGGTCAAAATCTTTCAATCTAAGCTTCCATGCACTCTCTTTATACGTGAAAATTAATCTCATAAGGATAATCATGTTCCCAGTGTGGAAACACACATGAAAGTCATTCACTAATACCAATATTCTATAATTAGGCCACTCTAATTTTCTAATAACGTTTTCAAACTATTTTATTTTACTTAATTTATTAAATTATTTTGAAAAAAATATATATTATAATTATTAATAAATTATATTACTCGTTTAAATTGCATTGCTCAATGGTACACATACAT